ATCGGGAAAGCAGTGCTGAAGAACAACGTCTTCGTCCTCGACTTCGTTCCTGACCTGGGCACTGCAGACAGCGACGCCATCGTGAATTTCACTGACTGGACACACCCTCCGGATCTCGACCCCGACTTCAGCCCAGGAGGCTTCTGGTACTCGCACACCATTCCTGAAGCAGAACGAACACGAGCATTAGCAACAATTCGACAATCGGCAGCAGTAACAACATCGGCAGCAGCAACAACATCGGCAGCAGCAACAACATCAGCAGCAGCAGGAACAACGACACCAGTCACAGTCGACGAAGCACCACCAACACCCGCGAAACAGCTGAATCCGACTCAACGTGAAGTCCACCGAAGCGCCAACCTCGTCGCCAGCTTTTACTCCAACTCCGACGCATATCAGCGTTCACCTGGACACCGCGCCTCTGAAGAGATCTGGCACGCACGAACAGGACATCCAAGCAACACGGTTTTGAATAACACGATAAGAGCAGGAGTCCTTGACAAAGATTCTCTACTTCTACCCGATGGCAGAGAACTCCAGAAGGCACGAGGGACTTGCCTTATATGTCCCGAAGCTGACTTACCTCATCGACCGTTTGCTTCACATCACAACCCGAGCGCTCCAGCGTACGCACCACTCGAAAAAGTCTACAGCGACATCCTCTACAATCGCGAGCCAGGACAAGTCAACTACAACTACACCATCACCTTCATCGACGCCGCCACTCGATACGTCTGGCATCGCAACCTACCCAGCCGCGACATGGCGCTCGCAGCATTCGCCGCCTGGCTACCGATAGCAGAGAGAGAGTCTGGAACACAACTGAAAAAATTCCAGTCAGACGGAGGTGGCGAGTACACCTCTCACCGCTTCAAGCAGTTCTTGGCGGAAAGGGGGATCAAGCAACTCCTCTCCCTTCCTTACGCACATCAGCAGCAAGGTGTTGCAGAACGACTGAACAGGACCCTGCAGAACAGCATGCGCAAACTATTACGTGGCATGCGGCTACCCAACCACCAGTGGCCAGCAGCAATGGACCACGCTGTCATGCTACACAACTTGTTGTCGTCGTCGTCACTCCCGAACAACGCATCACCGCATCTGCTGTGGACAGGGAAGCAGGGCAGCACGAAAATGTTACGAGTTTTCGGGTGCATGGTACAGTACAGACCCCCAGAAGCACGAGCGGGAAGATTTTCGCAACGGGCACAGTGGGGACTACACCTCGGCATCGAGAAAAATTACAACGCATGGAAAATCTTCGACGTCCACACAAAGGAAATAGTAGCAGCACGTGACGTGATCTTCTACGAAAGACTCACCCTTCAGACGTACCTCGCCAACTTGCACGAGAATCGGGACCTCACCAGTGGTTTTCGTGGTGACCGAGCCTTCGCGTCAGCAGCGGACGAAGCAGACTGGGATGAACAGAACGTCGACAACGCCTCAGAAGAAGCCGGACCTCTCCCATACTGCTCCGTCGACGTGCCCATGGATGAGGATAATCCTCGCGACAGTAACAACGCCGAAATCTTCTACCGTTTCGCCGACGATGGTTACGTAACACCTGTGACAGTCAACACCAACGAAGCAGAAAGGGTAGGGCCAAATTTCATGCCCGACCCAGAAACGGGAGACGAAGCAGCTTATCCCGAGGATCCAGAACTCCCTCGATACTCACAGACTGGGCTGCAAATCCTCGGCCTCGTCACCGCAGTCCACGGGAACACACGCAGCTCGCTTCCTAAGGAGCCTGCAACGGTTCAGCAGGCTCTGGGGGGGGAACACAGGGAGAAATGGCGTGAAGCCATGGATAGAGAACTGAAGGCATTAGAGGAACGCAACACTTGGAAGGTTGTTCCCGTAAGCGTGGCACGGAACAAAACCATCCTTACCGGGAAATGGGTCTTCCGCATCAAGACGAAAGCAGACGGCACGATCGAAAAATTCAAAGCACGCTGGGTCGTACGTGGATTCGACCAAGAGCAAGGACGAGACTTCACCGAGACCTTTGCTCCAGTCAGCCGCCACACGTCACTCCGAATTCTCCTCGCCATTGCCGCCATGAAGAAGAAGAAGTTACGGCAGATCGACGTCGCGAATGCCTTCCTCTACGCACCTGTGGATGCAGAAATCTACGTCGAGCTCCCGCACGGTTCCCACGGCGAACCCAACCGAATCTGTCAACTACTTAAGTCGCTCTACGGGATCAAGCAGGCACCGCGACTGTGGCAGCAGTACCTGCACGCCCGTCTCATCCGCATCGGCTTTAGTCAACTACCTCACGACCAAGGCATGTACCGCCTCACTAAGGGAAGCGACTACGTTCTCCTGATCGTCTACGTGGACGATCTCCTCTACATTGGGTCAACCGACGGCATCGCCACGTGGTTCGAAGGAGAGCTCCAGAAAGACCTCACGCTCACGGTCTCCTCCACCGTTACACAGTACCTCGGGCTCAACATCCGCGAAGAAGAAAACGCCATCTATCTAAGCGCCGAGAAATACGCCGACACCATCGCGAAACGCTTCAGCCTCACACCAAGCGCCATCTCCACGCCCTACCGCTACACATCAGGAACCGAGAAGGAACGAACTACTCTACTCAAGCCCGCCGGCATACGCGACTATCAGAAGAAGCTCGGATGCCTGCTATTCGCCGCCGTCACCTGCCGTCCTGACTTATCCTACTCCGCAAGTCAGCTCGCCACCTATCTCAAGAAGCCTGAAGCTGAACACCTGGCGGAACTTGATCGCGCTCTCCACTACTTCGTCAGCACCGCGACGATCGGGCTAACCTACCACAAGAGCGCAGCTACACCGACTAAGCTAATCGGCTACGTCGACGCCGATCACGCCGGCGACACCGACAACAGGCGCTCACGCACCGGCTATGTCTACCGCCTTGAGCCTATCGGTCCTATCTCCTGGCAGTCGAGCAAGCAGGAGTTAATCGCACTATCTTCAGCAGAAGCAGAATATATTGCACTCTGCTCAGCCACCAAGGAGGGACTTTACCTTCGCGAACTACTGGAAGAAGCGAAGCTAGCCGAGTTACCCAGCTTCACCGTGTTCTGCGACAACCAGTCAGCAATTCGCATCGCCAACAAAAACGGCTTCGCAAACAGGACGAAACACATCGCCCTGCGCTATTTCTTCGTGAAGGACGAGATAGAAAAAGGGAAACTCGATCTGTCATACTGTCCAACATCCGAGATGGCAGCCGATTACTTGACCAAGAAACTCGGCAAGCAGAAGTTCGAATACTGCATGATGCTGACTGGACAAGGCCACGTCACCAGCAGTAACACTCCAGAAGCGAAGGGGAGTGTTGGAAACAATAAGTCCTAAGTGCGCTTCTGTCGTATCAAAATCCAAGGTACCAAGCGAAGCAGTCCCAATCGAAGCATCGAGTCAACCTCGGAGGTTAGGGTAACCGCCTGGAGGTTACGAGAAAGTCAAAGGTCGCTGACCTTTGACTCGACAATTACAGCGCGACAGTTAAGGACACACAACTGACTCGTTACAGAGCAGTTGCCCGAGTCGCGCTACATCGAACCGCAACAGCAATACAGTTATCTATCTATTCCCTGTACTCTTATATAAATCCTTGTATTTGCTTGTTTAATTCAATCAACTTTGCTCTCACACACCAGTGCAAGGTCGGTTCAAATTCTTCACTAAACGCTTCCGCTATTACAACTACTTCACCTAGAGTTATCCCTTGCAAAGATCCTAAGGGGCTATCTCAGCCCAACATCGAGCACTATAACAAGAGCGAATCAGATCCACACTGAAGCAATACCAAGTCAACCAAGCTACAGCGAAACGGTTGACAGAGGCGACAACAGCAGGAGGTTGAAGCGAAGGTCAAAGGTCAGCAACCTTTGACTCGACAATGGCAGCACGACAGCAAGGAGAAATAACTGACTCGCTATTGAGCAGTTACCCGAGTCGTCACTGTATCGAACCGCATTAGCAGTTACAATTGCAGTTAGTGAAACCTTTCATATCTCTGTAATCATATAAAAGCCCTGTATCTCTATGCTATAATCAACTTATCTTGTTCTCACATACCAGTGCAAGGTGGTTCAATCACTCTCACTAAAACGCTTCCGCTAATACATCACTCTGGGTCTTACCGTCATACCCCGGATAGAAACGCCCCTGGGGTTGTAATAAAACACTGTTTTTTAGGGGGTGCGCTTATAATTGAGAAAATTTATAAGCGCCGGCGTTTATATAACGGCAAAATGAAATTTAGTTTTTTCTAACACCAAACTGTAGATCTCGTTCTTCCAAGTGTAATCGAGTCGAAAATATATGGGGTCGCGAATCTGACTCTCGAGCAACTTGGCAGGGATTGATTCCCTGCCAACACATGCTGACTAAGCGACAGCGCGTGCTGACTAGACGCGCAGCAAGTGTGATGTGAGTGGGAAAGTGGAACTGTACTTCGCTTACCTGGTAAGGGGAATTTCGTTTCTGTATTTCGACTGATCTTCATATAATATTCGACATGCGCTTATAATAAATCACAAAATTTTAGGGGGTGCACTTATAATTGAGGACCGGATATAAGCGCCCTCATCCCTTTATAAGCGCCGGCGCTTATCTGAGGCCTGCGCTTCTATCCGGGGGCTTACGGTAGTCATTGAAAACGATCATGGGCTTTTCTCAGCCCAACATTCATTACCTACCGGACGACCAACATACGGTGCTGGCCTGTTGAGATTTACGCATGTATGATGCAAATATGGTACCGGTAAGGACTCCCTCCCGTCATGGACTCAACACGGGCCTGGTTCTGAAGTTTGAATGATACGGTATGCTGAAGCATGAGTGCAAAACAACCAGGAATGCTCTATGCAACATCAAAAAACAAACTACCCACAATAGTTGCAGCCCAGCCCACCCACACATAAAATAACACATAGAGAAACACACTCACCGATTAGAAAAAGGCCACCCATAATTGGTGCTATGACACATTACAACTACTTCCTCTTCTCCCCACTCGCAGCGCTGGCCAGCTGGCGCACGTTCATTGGCGTGATTGATTCCTTGCCGCCCAGGAGAATGCTCTTGGCCATTTCGCGATTGAGGGCCTCTGTAGGATGCAAGCGGTCCCAGTACAGGCTGTCTTGGGGGCGGCTGCACTCAGTCACGGTTACCTTGTAACCACCCAAGGTTTTGCTTGTGCCGCACTGCACAAGGCCGTTGATGGGAGGCGGGCCGCCGCAGCACGCGTTGGTCTCGGACAGTCCAAGAGAGACTGGGTCGGCAAAAGTGTTCGCCAGAAAATCATACGTCTTCACGACCAGAATCTCTGAGCCTTTGAGAGTCTTCCGCAGCCCAGCAATAGCAACAGCCAGCTGCTTGTTATGCTCCTGAGAATATGCATTTAGTGCGCTGACACACTCCCCCTGCTTCTCCGCGGGCTGCAGCGTGCGCCATAGCGGCAGGCAACCGAACGGGGGAGCTTCGAAGAGCAGGAACCGGCGCGCCCCGCGGCTGTAAATACCCTCCACGAATCCCTTCAGAGCCGCCACGACGCCCGAAGCAAACGCCTGCACTTGTTTCGCGCTTAAGGTGGAGATCCTGGGGAGCGTCGTGTCGTCGATCTTCTCCCCGAAGAAGAGCACGAAGTAATCGTTGGAACAAAGCCCCATGACGTAGAGCGCAGTGGAGAAGACGGAGAGGGAGGGAGGCAGGATGGTGCTGCTACCCCCTGCTTCTTCCACGTCATTCCGGATCTTGTCGAACCACTCCAGCTGCTGCGACGCTTGGAAGGCGGGGAAGGTCTGTTGGGCGGGGAGGGAGGGTGCGAAAACGAGGGGGAGAGAGGAGAGAGAGGGACGGATCATCGGTGGGAGAGAGAGAGTCAGCTCAATGCATCACCTCGCCTGGATCTTGTCGAACCACTCCAGCTTCTGCGACGCTTGGAAGGCGGGGAAGGTCTGGCGGAAGGGGAATGGGAAGGAAGGAGGGAAGAAGAGAAGAGAAGAGAAGAGAGAAGTTATGTTGAAAGACACCATTGAATGGTTTTGCAGCTGGGCTGTTTGGTGGCAAGGAGATCGGAGGTGTGTGTTCAACGTGTGAAGGAGTTACTCTGTCAGAGTTCAGTGCACGCATTTTATTTTTAACATTTAGGAGGATGCTGCTAAAGGGGACGTCCGTCGCCAATGCCTAAAGAGACGCGAAATCGTCGCCAATGCGTGTGCGATGCTGAGTGTGTGTTATAAGGTGTTCCAACACGCCACCGTGATGCTCCTTAGAATGCGATAGGAGAGTGATTGGTCGCGAGCTTGGAAAATAGTTGTGTACAATTCTATGTCGGCCTGCCTACTCTTCTAGACTAGTGTAACCTAGAACCTGCGTGCGACGGGAAGCGATTGAGTTCACTTTTGTTCAAAGGTTTTTTATTGTCAGTAAGAGCGGGGTGCAAGCCACATCTACTTACGGAAGATGTCCCCCAAACTGGGGAGGTCCGTGTGGCCCCAAACTCCCGCTGTACAATACATGGTTACCAGGCGTAAAAAAAAAACCTTCTGAACCAACCATGCCAAAAGTGCACCGTCGCTTTAAAAGGTGGAGGCTACAAGTCACTTGTAAAAAGGGCAGTGCGGAAAACAACTTAAAAGTGACTAAACCGCAACTCTAGGGATACTACGAAAACGCAGGAAAAAAGTCAAGGTTCAAAACAGTGGGAGCACTAGTTACTACACCTGATGCTCGTTAGAGCCCCTCCCGGTTGCCTTGTGCTCTGGGACTATAAGCTAAACATCATTTCGCCAGAGGTTCGTTCGTTTCGTCACGCGTATCCCGTGCCTCTAACCCGCATATGGTTACCTCACCTTTTGTTTGTTTTGTAACAGGGGGGGGTTGCCATGCTTGTCTCTCTCGTGTGTTCAATGTTACTACACGACCCCTACAGTAATGAATCAGGCGTGCACATCAATTGTTCCTCGAGGTGAGAAACAACTAACACACAACATAGACATCCAATCAACAACTCCCACCTGGCCCCCCATAGCAACACAACACACTAAACGAAACACACTGAAATGGGCACAATGTTTTATCACTGGGGCCCTGCAAAATTCACTCGACACTTTGCTCTGGCTGCTCCACCCCCTCTCACAGACGCATCCATTCCGCTGCATCCACATAGCCGTCCATCACGGCGCCCACCCCGGCATCAAGCAGCTGCTGACGGCGGGACTGGCGGGTCATCCAGTCGGGCAGCACACGGCCCCGCGGACGAGGTGTCTCGGGAGTGGGGGTTGCGCCGGGGGAGGGTACGGGCTGCGGCGCCACGTTGAGATTGAATCCCGGGCTCGCCCGCTCCATCCGCGCGATTATGATTGGATTGCGGATGTCGAAAAGAGCGCACAGATCGCGCGGAGTGATGCGGGTGGCCCGGGCGTAGCCGATGAGCATCTCGCACGCCGCACGAGCAGTGCGGCGCGCTTCACGGCACACGGGGTCGGCGTCGTCGTAAACGGCCTGCATGGTCGTCGGCGCCTGCCAGAGCTCCACCTCCGAGCGCATCTCCTCCTCTGTCACGGGCGGGTGTGCCGTGCCTTCCGCACACGTGGGCTCCGCGTCGTCGATGGCGACGTATTCCGCCGCCGTCATTGCCGCATTCCCGAGGTCGAGCGTGTTAATAAGCGTCCCGACATCATCGATGTCATCGTCGAGTTCGATGTCGGGATAAGCTGCGGGGATGGGCTCGTCGTCATGCACGTGCGGCAGCTCCAGTGACCACGAGAGGGGAAGACACCCCGTGCGCCACCAACATCGTTGAATGGTGCGCGCGCCGACGGAGGTCCACGACTCCGACAGCCACTCGAGCACATCTCGCAGATTCGGCCGGAATCGAGCGACCGCGGAAGTCGCTCCGTCGGCGTTCCATAAACCCGAGAAGGCCCGCAGCCAATGCTGGCGGTAGCGGGCCTTCGCGGTGGCGATTATGCCCTGGTCAAGCGGCTGAGTGAATGCCGTGGTATTGGGCGGCAGGAAGACAAGCCGCACGTGGCTCATGCACGTGGTCCTGACGCCGCACACGATCTCGCTCCATGCATCTACGGCGCGCAGCATGTGGCTGCTCGCGTTGTCCAGCAGCACCACTATTTTGCGACCCTCGGCAAACATCGCCGCGTTGAGATGAGTAATGAAATGCGTGAATAACTGTTGGACGGGATGGCATGGAAAAATGGGACACGGTCGGCATCATCGTGAGAACAAACACATGACAAAATTGCGAACAATGGCAATGAGAGTCAAAAAGGTGCACATTCCACGCAAATATGCTTACAGGCGAGGTCATCCAGCCTTTGGCGTTATGGCGCCAGTAGCATAGCGCCTCAGGGTCATAGTCGGGCCGGAAGTCATGCGGCCTCTTCGCCTTGCTTATCACAAGCGGCCGGAATGCATGGCTACCGTCCGCATTCACGAGGAATGCGACGGTCAATCGCTCCTTCGAGACCTTGCGGCCTGGTATGCGGCCGCTGCTGTACGTGCGCCGCGGAAGCACCGACAGCCAGAGAGCAGTCTCGTCGAGGTTGAAGGTGTCCCGCGGGGCGACGCCGAGCTGCGTGAGGAGTCGCGGCATCTTCTCACGGGCGTCGCGCACGGCCGCCATATCTGCGCTGGCGGCCTCGCCCTGTGCCGCACGGCATCTCACGCCCTGGCGCCGCAATGCACGGCGCACCCAGCCGATCGAGCATCGGAAGGTGGGCGGAATGCCCATGTTCCTGGCCATCGCCGCGACATGGTCGCGGATGGTTTGGAGTGTGAGGGGCACACCGGCGGGTCCTGCGTTTGCTATCCACCGCCCCATGGCCTGCTCCAGCTCTGGCCAGGCGCCTGCCCGACGGCGCACCGGGTTGGCGCCGTCGGACGTCACATCCCATCGCTCGGCGGTTTTTAGGATGCGGCCGATCGTAGAGCGATCCGGGCGCAACCCGTACTGGGAGAAACACCATCGAGCTAGGTCGACATGGCGCAGGACGGGGTGTTCGAGGTGGTGCGCGCAAATGGCGCGCTTGATGTGGAGCGGCAGCTGTTCCCGTCGATTAAATCGCGGCATTGTGTCAGGATGAGGTGAGTGAACTAACTGTCTTAGTGAAATTGTTGTTAACATTTTATCCTCACTTCGAATTCACCTGGGACAAGGTTGGGGTCTGTTCTTTGGGGCTTGGAACTGTACGTGTGGTTGGAGTTCGTTCCATGCACCTGGCTTGCACATTTGACGTTGGGGGTTGGTAACCTTACGTTCAATTGTCTGACGTGGTGTATGAGAACAATGCCTGGCTACAATAACGCTTGTACCCCGCACAGGCAGATTACACGTGGGATCGTGAATTTGCCCACGATGTCTGTTACACGCACAATGATCCGTGCCTAGGTGGCGGGGTGGATTGGCGATTGCGTTCACGAGGCCTCGTTCGTTTCGTCCACTCACTTTCGCAGTGCAGGCTCCTGGCCTGGAAACGGGGCACAGCAGGGTTGGCGTTGGTTGTTCGGAACTGCACGTGATAAACTGTCCGAGTCGCGCGCACTGTTTCCTGCCACCCCGGGTGCTTGTACTGTGGGAGCAGCAAGCGGGGGTTTCATGCTCGGGGGCAGCGTTTCCATCCAGTGCATGGCAATTTCGCGTGCATGGGGTGAGCATCAGCTGTACATGAGCAACTTCTGCGTCACTTTACGGGCAGGTTGTGTATACTGCAATGTTGGAACCAGAATATGTATACGGTTACTAGCAGCAACCTCACAGTCGCGAGTCAGGTTACTCATCATGCAACGTGCCAGTCACATTCCGGCGTCACCCTAAAGCTTCGGAAACGCAGCCAAATAGCCCCCCTCCGTATGGCAACGCCACGTGGCGAACCAGTTCAACTCTCGCAGCCACGCAAGCAAATACACCCCCAAGCGAACGGCTACGCACGCCCTCCGATCTGAGAGCCTAAACTGCAATCCTGACTCTACAAATGTCGCAGAACAGCTCTCTCGCACTTTGGGTTACACCTTCGCGCGCCACATATCGCCAACCTCGCCACCATCACATCCACGCATCACATCCACGCATCTCTACCCCTTCTACGCAGCCCCTAAATGACACGTGGCGTCAACGGCTACCACACGGAAAGCGCCAAGAATCACGTGTAAACAGCAACCCGGGTTCTACAAGTGTCGCGTCACAAGAAACTCGCACAATGAGTTACTCATTCGCGACCTTCATATCGCCATGGTCGCGTACATCTCCTTCATACATCCCATCCGTCCAACACTGCACACAGGATGCAGTACCCTACTGACACGTTGCGAAAACCGCAACCGTACACTTGTCACCTACAACAACTCCTACAACCAATCCGCATGCGCCAACAACCACAATTCAAACGCATGTCGACCGCCGATTCTTCGCACCATCGGGCCACATCACCGCGGCAAGTGTCGCAATCACATTTCTTTGGGCAATGCGTAACGTGTATTCGGCACCAGTTCGCAGACATCGCATAGAGAATCACGACATCACCAGGACCGTCCACAGTTGCGCACGTCCACCCAATCACTACAAGCCACCACCGCATACCCGGGACCACTAACTTCAAGCCGCCGTCCCCTTCATAAGCCATACCGTGCCCGACAAATGCCCCTCCCGCGAGCAACTTTGCCAACCTATCACACGACTCTAAAAGCAAACTAGCACGTGACGTCGTCCACATTTCCTGTGGATCTGACAGTTTTTAAACTGCCACCAATGCGTTTCCAAGGTTCTGGCTCAACGGCCGTCCAACCGTATGACGCGGCGTTTGTCACGCCGCGTCGTGCGGAGCGCTCTGACTGACCACGGCATTTCTTAAAACCAGGCACCGTCCACCGCAACAACCATTAGTCATGTCTGCCTTCTATTTCAAAATAATTAGACGAAGAAACGCATACCAACATAAATAAACCCATTATATAATACAAGAAACCGCATACTGCATCTAACAAATACCGCAACCCATTATATAGTACAAGAAACCGCATACTGCATCTAACAAATACCGCAACCAGCTACACCCCGCACACGAGCAGAACACAAACATCAGCCACCACCCAGACCCTTACTAGCACGCGTCTGGCAAAATATGCGATTCAACCCCTGATCCTACTCATCGCCAAAAGACACGGAAACCTCATCGTCCCCCCCGAGATCCTCACCCTGGGATCCACCCGCCAGCCTCATCCCTTCGAGTCCACTAACCGAAAGAAGCATGCCATGGCGGCCCCAAATCCATGTGTGACGCTCAGCATCCCATTCGGGATTGAAAACACCGATGGCCCTCTCAACGGCTCCTTTGGCGAGAACCTTGAGGCCATTGACAACGTGGCCGTTGCCACCAGCTGAGTTGGAGAGGCGGCCTTTCCGCTCCTCCCAATACATGACGCTGTCTGTGACCTGCATCAACCATTAGTCCACTTTAGCCGGCCCCAATTGTAATAAAACCACGACCACAACCAAACCAACAAACTCATCACGGGCTCGAGCCGGGCCAAGTGGTACACGTTTAGCATGAGAGGAACTCTTGGCTTTTTCGGCTTGAAGGCGGCCTTGGCGCACGCGACAAATGCAACCGATGCAAACGGCATGCCCTGGCGGTCGTTGCTCCAGTTTGAAAGGGCAAGAGTTTCTGCACACCTGACGATATATCGAACAACAACACGAGCTGGCAGTCAGTGACAAACCAACAGCTCTCACCACTCAGCAAGGATCCGTAACCCACCTTCGCCCTCGCGCGCCAGCCCGATGCGGGACCTGATCTTCTCGGCGCTGCGCGCCTTCTCCTGGGCCTATGGGCTCGCAGCATCTCGCTCGTCCCGGAACAACCCAAGCTTGGGAAGCGCAATATCCCTTACTCGCGCTGCAGCGCGGGTCTTCCACTCGCTCAAAGTCTTGTTCAAATCAGCCCGACGTGACTTGTCTGCAGCCAAAGCCAGACATGCGTAGCTGTAGGGCAGACGGTCCACAACCGCACACACACCGTCGGTTTTGTCGTCGCTACTCGGGTAGAACGTCATCGTGCAGTACGGCTTACCCAGAAACAGGTAGACCCTCACGAGGTCGCACATGCGCTGCACACGACGTGTAAAGGTACAAAAAACCCCTTACTGACGACGTACACGAACATCATTTCCCACAATGCACAACATCACACAATTTAAACATAAAACAAAGCTGCGCATGCCATAAAACACATGACCGTAACCATTCGCCACGCACGCCTCACCTTCCACGCCTTGTCTGCAGGGAGGAGATCCAGTGCGCTTTGCAGAACAGGCGACCTCAATGACCTCATATGGCGCCGGCGCGAATCATCACTCTCGTCGTCCTCGTCGCCATCAGAAGCGGCACTGCGCGCCTCCACGCGCCGACGTTTCGGGTTGGCACACCCGAGTCCTGGATCTCGCTGCTTCTCCGCTTTCCGACGCCTAGACCCTAAATGACTGGTTGCCAAGGCTTTCAGCAACATTTCTTCCAGGCGAGCCACGGTCTTGGCGTTGTCATCCTGCGCCCACTTGAGACTATCAAACACGGCCCGCGACACGGTCACCTCCTCGGTCGGGTTTCTGGATCCCTCGGGGGATGCACGGAAAGCGACCAGCGGGTCATCTTCCTCAACTTCTGCTGGCTTATCATTGCCCTCCTTGGAAGTATTGGGCGCCCTGGATAGCACATGGTCCACGGTCTTGGTTTTGGTCTGGCCCTCATCGCTCTCCTTGCTCGCCGTCTCCGCCGATTCAGATTCTTCAGCGTCAGAACTGTCGTGCGGTTGTGTCGCATCGGTGGTCTCCAACCCCTTTGATTCCTCTGAAATGAATACACCAACATAACATGAAACTAAGCGACACTTCACACCCCGTCTCTCACACAACAAAACGAGGTATGCGGTTTCACCTCAGCGACCAAACAACTGCAACAAACTAAACGCAGAATAAAAAGAAACACCACATACCTTCTTCGTCCACAGAAGTTGCGACCTTCTTCAATCTTGGAAAGTTCAACTTCTTCGGGATATTAGAAACTCGAGGACCCCTTGGACCACGACCCCTAGGAACCGCCAGTTGATAAGACGCCCGCAGATACGCTGGCGACTTAGTCTCCCTCTGGGATCTCCCAGCCGTTTGGGTGTTTTGGGAGGCAATGGAGTTTTCCATCTTGAAAACGGTAAAGGCAGAAGTGACTAAAGAGCTACTACGGTAAGGACCTTATATACATCCCCGGTGAGCCTGTATCCAGTTTGAGAAATGCAGAAAACCACTTTGGTATTCGGTAAACACCTCGACTTCAGGATTTCCGCAATCCGAACCACCAATGATAACACGCTACATCAGACGATGCAGAGAATCAACGAGAACTCCCAACACCTGATCACAACCGTGCAAGATGGCGCGTTAACACTTATCGTGTGTACGAGACGGAAATCGCATACCACAATGTTAAACTCAAATGCATTGACGGTTGCACAATAACATAGGACGGAGTGGTGTTCACAAAAATCTTGCCCATCATCCGCATGCAAACAGCAACACACAATCTCAACAAAACAAAATCGCTACTTCATACACACAATTTGGGAAATATCCGGATTTACAGCACCAATCTTAAGCAAGTCCATACCGCCACTACTCTGATCCATCGTCATCACCACCCTCCTCACCAACGTACTCCTCATCCCCCTCATCACCCTCATCCCCCTCATCCCCCTCTTCGTTCTCATCCACCCCCCCATCATCCTCTTTGCCGCTAGCACCCTGGGACTGCCCTTCGTTCTCCACGAGTTCGACCGGCTCTGTTTGTCCAGTTCCTGCACCATCACTCCCCGTCGCTTCAACATCCCCGCCACCAGCAGCCTTGCCGTCCACTCTCCTCTTTTTGCCCCGTGTGTTAGATGACGGGGTCTTCTTTTGGCGTCTCTTTTTGGAATCAAGTTCCTGCACCACCTGGCGCCACTTCTTCCACCACCACCACATGCGCGCACCCACGAGCTTTACCACCACATCCTTGTCGCAGCCCTCCAGCAACGCCTTCTATGCATCTGTTGCTGTGTGATGCAACCATATGCATTCACGTCTGTCTGCCTCCCATCATGTGTTTGTGCGTTGCATGCGTGGTGTGAGCGTGTGCAAGAAATTTGTGTCTTGTGTGGTTTGGATTTTCTGAGTGTGTGTGAATGTTATTTGGCTTGAGCAGATATCTGAAGTGACTCCTCTGCTCAAGAGCTTTCCGACGAACCAAGTATCGCTTCAATCGGAGCACGAACAAGAAAGTTACGAACGTTGGAGTTCGTATGCTTTTGATATTTGGTTGTGGTGACTATGGGGAGTTGTGGGGTTGACTCAATATGGGGTACAGACTTTTGGGGGTTGGGAAATTCGTCTTTTCTACTGTAGTTGCTGCCAAGTGGTTGGGTGAAACCAAACCAGGTTGGCAAGTGTGGCCAAGTTGGGTTAAGGTGGATGGCATGGGTTGGGAAAGTGACAAAAGTGAAAGTGGGGTTGCCTATGGAGAGGGGAATTGTGTGGCATGGGGTTTCCTTGGTTGGGGACTCTCTTGGGACCTTCCTTCTTGTCCTCCTCATCCCATCCCACCTGGTTTAATGCTACTCCAACTCTCTTGTGTAGTTAATTGTGATTGAGTTAATATTCTATGGCAGCATACCCCCTAGTGCGCCGAAATTCATAACTCAAGAAATACTTCACCTTATCGTACGATTCAAATTTGGAATTGTAGCCACGGACTAGAGCTACAACATATCTAAGTTTGGTGAAGTTTTAACAGTGCACCTTTCGTCGACGGCGTTTCTTGTGAAGTCGACGTTTTCTGTCCAGCACCTAATTTTTTCTTGTAAGCCAACGATTTTGAGAAATTTTGGCACCTAATCTTCGTAGACTCCGTCCTTAGTCGCTAACATCTGTCAGGGGGATGGTATTCTCCATCTCCTCACCGTGTCGCAGCACATGAGCAGCTGCCGCAAACGCCACGGCGGCCTCTTTCGGGGTCGTGTAAGCGCCAAGCCGATGCTGCCGCCGTTTATCCCCCTCCCACGTCAATATCTTTGCCCCCCACTTTCCAGTAGCCTTCTCGATGGTAACCCCGGTGTAAGTCGCCGTCTCCAGGTCCTCGTCAATGCCTCCCTCTCCTGCTTTCACGCCCTGCGCAGCTGCCGCATTGCTGGGTTGTCCGGGCTCGGTGCCCCATTGTGCACTGGGAATGCCTTGCACGGACGAAGTGTGCTGACGGGATACCACCCAGTGTGGTATTGTACCGGGATGCGGAAGTGGTGCCGAGGACACAGGCATCTGCACTCCGACCCCCATGAACTTAGCAGCAAGCGACACCCGCATATCTGTGCCATTAATGGCCTCATCAGGACTCTCCTTACTGGGTTTGACGATTCCGGGATTGCGCAAAGGCGTAGTGGGCGCATGGTTTGTGCGACTGCTCACCGGGATGCTAAGACCGTCAGCGCCTCGGTCTTGTATGCGTTGCACCGCGCCAGCTCGCACCTGCTCCGGTGTGTATCCCTACGCATGCGCCAGGAACGCCACTTCCGCTACAAGTATAGCCATCTCGCGCTTCGCCGAACGCTGTTCTGCATGCAGCTGCTCAAACCGTGCGGGACAGTCACCGTGCTGAGGATGCGGGGGAGCACTGTCGCCAGTCAGTGGGGGCCGCTCCTGCAAAGGGATCTCGATGTTGTCTGCTGCCAACCTTGGCAGAAGGGCGCCGGCTACGTGCTCACAGATGTCCGCGCGCATGCCGCGCCTGTACTTCAGCGAACTAACACCTTGGAACCAGAGGACAGTGCATACGGTCTGGAAACTCGTTTCCACGAGGATCTTCAGATAGTGGCAAACGAAAATGCCATAGTCGGTTGAGTTTGGCTGTTGTGGACAGTGCTCCCCCTGCACAAAACACAACGTGACGCACATCCCATTACATTGACTCGGATTAATAAGCTAAAAATATCAGCGGTCAATATGCTCATCAAAACTCACCCCCAGCACGATGCACTTGGCATCCAGGAGGACCTTGTCCACATGTGTCAAATCCGCCGTCGGATGGGTGTCTTGGGCCAACACGGAGACCACCCTGGCCAACGCAATTGCGGTAAATTAGCCAACCGTGGTATAAAACGGTGCGCGGAGAGTTATAAAAGCAACTTACAGTTGACATCCGTTGAAAATGGCAACCGCGTCAGTTTGGGATAGTGCGTTGTCGTACAGCACCATGACGAGGCGGTTCTCATCCCCTGACGTCGCGGGTTCGAAGATCTTAGAGGGCTCACACACGATGACCAAGGAGTAGTGATTACTGCATTAGGAACACGTCGGTACAGTCAAACATGGGTTTGTTCACTACTCAGACTACCTTCGTTGAGGGTGCATAACACTATTCGGGTGAGCGACCATACGAATCACAAACTTACTTCAGGAACACTGGAATCGCCAGGAAGTCGTGCTCCAATAGCGGTAAGCCCTCTCCAGAAGCTAAAGCCTTGCCGTAAGTTCTGGTATATGTGAACGCCTTGGCGTCAAGTGCCGCCCATATCTTCCCATCGGGTAGAACAGGCTGACGGATACTCAGCAATCTGCAGCAAACGGCAAGGCAGCAGAGACAGGACCACCCGCAGGGTTTAGGCATATCCATGAGACGAGGAGAGACTATGAGGGACATTCACCATCGGCCACTCACGTGTTGTGAAAGTCTATGAGTGCATCTGACACCCACTTTCCGACGGCGATGGTAACCACATCCGCCTTCTTCACAACTGAGGTGAGACGGCGCTTGTTGTAGAGTTCCAGATCCGGGAAGTCAACGGATTTCTTGCCCTGTCTGAGCTGCGCTATCACGTCCGCATGCTTAGGCAACTCCTCCTTCATCCGAATCGGGGTCTCAAATTTCTTAAGACTCTCTGCCTGCAACGTTGCCGCGCGACTGCTACGGGTTTCACGCACATCGTCGGTCGATCTTGTCCGTGCCTGCCCACCCGCGCCCTTACTATTTGTCCTCGTCAACTGCTTTGCAAGTGCCATGTCTACGCGGCCTGTTACATGTGCGGTCAACGCGTGCTTGAGGCGTAAACTGCAGACGGGAATGTCTTACTAACCCAACTGCGATGGCGCAGCAGACTGGGTACGACGGGGATTCTACTCCACTAATAAAACCCTAAGATCTACTTGCCATAGAACCCTAGTATTGAAAATGATAATCGAAGAGATGGCTGTTGTGGGAAAATGGTCATGTCACACTTGTCAGTTTTGCGAAGTTGTTGCTCGCTTACGTGTGTAGCACCTGTCCGCGTGGTGCAAGAGATTATTTCGTTTGTTATGTCATTGGTCGAGGTGGCCGAGTTGCGGTGATCAATGGTTGTATGAAATCGTCGAAGTTGGTGCACCAATCTGGCCTTCCATTGGTGTACCGATCGGGTGTTTTAATCCAGAACCTGCGATCAGTTGGCGCGCAACTGCAGTGTTCGAATAGCCAAATGCTGAAACTCGTAATCGTTCAGGATGGGTATGGGAAACCATGCACTTAAGTCAAAGGCGCGCGAAAGTCTAAAACGCGTATCGCGACCGTACAAAATGCCCTTACTGTCAACGTGGCAACCTAGACGACCAATAATTGATAAACTCACATAACGTGCCGTTGTGGTCCTAAGTGAAGCACGAACCTTATCGCGTTTGGTATGCGAAAACCCCAAGTATTTTGCCCTTTGCCCATTGGTGTTTGGATGGGCGCAATCTCGACGACCAATTGGCCAAGACAAATGCAATCATCCAGGGCAAAAACTGTCTACCAACAGCGGTTGAAGCAATGAAAACCGCATACCTGTAACTGGTACAAGCTCTACATTTCCCAGAGAAGCTCGTTTAGTGTTTGAATTTCTCATCATGACTGGCAATAGATGCGGTGCCTGCCGCACTGTTTTTAAAGACGACAACGCGTTGCAGTCTCATCTCTCCAAGAAAGAGATATGCGCCGAAAAGTTGAAAAGAAACCCCGAGGCGCTTCTATTTGACGCGTACCTTCACGCCAGGGATTGTTATGGCGGGCGCAGGCAGGGCAGTCCGCCTCGTTCTCGGGCGAGGCGTGATTCCACGCCCACCAGCGACGCTCCTCCCCAAACTGAAGAAGGCAACGATCCGGCAACAGACATTGTAGCGAGCGATGACGTTTCCACATGTTCAGAGGTTTCAGACGATGATGAGGTGTTCGATACTCTCACGGAGCTGTATCTGTTCTTCCGGGACGCTGATCTGTCACGAAGGGAGGTTAATTGTCTGCTCAACATTTTCAGAAACCCGAGGTTCAACCTACGGGCCCTCCGCAGATAGCGCAAGTATGTGGATGTAAGGCGTTGGGGTAAGGCCCGTGCCCCACCGGACATGGTGCCTTGGAAAACTGAGGAGATTGTGGTGTTCGGGCCCGAAGGAGTACAACAGAAGCTGCTGCTTCATTATCCTGATACAGAGATGGTATGTTGTACAGGCATATGTCCCAACAGCAATGATTCATGGTGTTCTCATGGATTTACGTGATGTCGTGCATGTTCCCACTCATTACGTGCAGATTGTGAAGAAACTAGTACGCACGTTTGTGGCGAAGGAGGGGTTTATTACGAAACCAACGCGACTCAACTGCGAGGAAACCAGCCAGCAGATCTACCAAGGACCAGAAACGGGGGAGTGGATGCATGCAGCGCAGGCATGCGGTTTTTTATCTTTAGCAAACCTTTATGCGTGTCAATGCAACATTAAAGTGGTATCCAGTGCTAACATTGCTATGTTGTTACGCACAGCGCGAGGTGAACGACGACAATGCATTGATATTGGGCGTCATCGTGTACAGCGATAGCACCCAGGCGACAGGGAATGGAAGGCGGAATGAATGGCCAGTGCTGATTACTCTCGTGAACATCCCAGAAGAGCTGCGGTGGCTAGAACCTGGGCACACTCTAGCGGGGGTGCTGCCATTTCCGCCTAAATGGGCATCATCCACGGAGAAAACGCGTGTCTTCCAGGAGGCAATGAAGATAATTCTAGCGCCTCTTATGAGGGAGTCTGCATGATATGTTGTTTTTGTTCAAAGCATGCACGCACGGTGCATGATTACTTACCGCATACCCAACTGAACTTTGTATACCGACTGTTTGGTGTACCACATACTTCTCTTAGGAAACTCGCCTTATGGTTTTTGCTTTGTGGTATGTGTACAGCGCTCCGATGAGGTTCTTTTATGTTTCAGACGCATCGGGTGCCGCCATAAAAGCCATCCCCTGCCTTTTCGGAATACCGGGCGACTTTCCAGAGTCATGCAGAGCGTCTGCCACTCTTCAGCTGGGCACTCATCGGCCTTGTACCACATGTTACGCCAAGGAGGGTGAACTTACTCGCCTGGTTGGCGCTACGGATCCAAGGACACCGCACAAGCAGCGAGTGATTGTTCGGAATATTCTAGCATGTCCGAAGAAAAAAGACGCCAAGAAGATCAGGAGTGCGTGGTCAACTCATCCCATCGAGGTGTGTGAGCCGCATGCTTATGGGGTAGTGTTTGGTGATGCACCCTGAAGATTTACGATTGCCTTTGACTTGTATGTTGCCGGTGTTCTAAGTGTGTCCTTCAAAGATGGAATTTCGCGGACACCGAGTGGGGGAACGTGTATTTGGCATGCCTCGCTGACACGTTGCACGTCCTGGACTCTGGGGTGTTCATCCACATGATGGATGCATTTGTGTCTACTCTTGGCAAGGCAGAAATGCGCGTGTTGGAGAGGTGAGAGTACTTGTTCTGAGGCGCGCTGTCATTACTGTTCATGATTTGATAACGATAGTCTAGTGAATTTTGTTGATATCAGGTGTTGCCGTAACCTCTAAAACGCAGGCGCAAGAAGGGGGTCAAACGAGACACACCGAGCGCTCTTCTTCGTATACCGGGGGGGAACTCGTTTTTCCGATCTGGCGCAAACTACGCAGCATTCGAGCACCGGAGCATGATGCAAATCGTGCCAATATTGATAGCGGATTTGAGTGCTACCAAGAGTGACGAGGGCGGAGAGCTGCGAGCGCTGCAGGTCCGCGCCTTCCGCATGTACGCCGTGTTTTACAAGTCATTCCTGGGGGCTGATTCTCACACTCAGACTACTCTCGCTATTGCACGACAACACGCTATCAAGTAAGTTTATGAGTAGTGTTCTGAGTTTTATGCCCTTGTTACTGTCCCCACTATTAGTTGAATTTTGTGGGCGTCACATTGTGCCACTAATGCGGGGAGTTTTGTTGTATTCCCCTCACCATCATGTCACATAGACTGGTGGATTTGCTGCTGCGCGCCTTCAAGACACAGAAGTCACACTGGGAACTGCCGAAGGTGCATATGATAAAACACCTGCTAGAGAACGTCGTGACCCGTGGGATGCCTCACCACTACTACACTGAGATGTGGGAGCGAACGCACAAAAGCACAGTGAAGACACCCGTGCGGGGTAGCAATTGGAGGGACATACCACGAAGAATTGTCGAAGAAGACGTG